CCTCTCCTGTAGACATGACTTCTCTGCATTTGGTTTAACTGTCTGCTGATGTGGGGGAACTTGTGTGATAAAGTAGCTGTTACCCTGTTTATACTCATTCTGTCATGCTTGTCCCAATAACCTAATGGACTGTGCATGGAGTAAAAACCCTACTAGGATGCCCCCATACTACTGCACTTTGATGTTCCCTGCTCCACTGTATCTTTATAAGTTATTTTACTCGTTTTTTGTAAGCCACACTGAACCTTTGTCAGTAAGGGTGATGTGTCCATCTAATAAGTAAATAGAAAAATAGCATTGTGATTGACAGTGAAGGGAAGCATAAGGTTTGAATGTGCCAAAATGTTTAATGAGATCAAGGGCAATGACCAAGAAATGTAATGGAAAACAATACAATTCTTTCGCTCTCTTTTTTAAAGAAGCCCAATAAACATAATACAATTACATTAGAAAAGATGCTTTATAAAAATACAAAACAAATAAAATGTTGACCATAAACCACTGAGTAAATCACAGGGTTCTTATTATAAACATGGCATGAGCACACATCTTATTTTAAAACGAAAATTTTCTACTTGGGGAAACAGGAAATTTAAAGTAGATCAAAATGCAGTTAGTTTCCTGTATATGGCAAACCTTTGTCTCCATATCTGTCTAGTCAGTCTTACAGATATGGATACCGTCCCACTGGCATTACAGTAGATGAGCCTTGGTGTAAACCAGGCTCTTTATTTTTCAGCATACCACAGTGCTGAAAATGGAATCAGCCATGGTGCCATTGTCTACATTAGAGCATTTCCCAGTTTCCTACTATAAATACGTCCAAGCTTCAAATGCTGGTATTGAAGCCACAATTTCTTTAGCTAAGAACCAAACAGACAGTCTGTATTATTCTTCTGCGTATTAGTTAGGGGTGCATTGATAGAGATTTTGAGGGCCAATACCGATAGCTGATTTTTAAGGAAGCATATTGGGCGATACCGATCTGATTTCCAATACAACTGTGTGCAGCTGGTAAGTCCGGTATGGTGGAAGGGGAGGGGAGAGGGATCAATGCCCCCTGTGGTGAGGAAGGAGAGAGGCAGGGGCAGGTGCTGTCCAGCCGGGGCAGGATGCAAGATGGAGCCACGGCTCATTGGGGTGGGGGGAAGAGGCTCCCACTGCTACTTGCACCCCAGAGGGCATGGGGTGGGGGTGAGGCATGTGCCCCTGGATTTGCACAGGGTGGGACAGGATGTAGCTGCAGGCTGGAGCCGGGGCTGTGCTGGGCTGTTCTTGGCGGGGGCTTGTCTTGGGGCGGGGGCTATAGAGGGGGCTGTAGCCACTCCAAATTTCAGTGTAGCTCTGCTCCTGGATGTGGTGTGTGTGACTGGTGCTGCTGCCCCTAGGCCTGTGGTGGGGCAGGAGTGGCACGGCAGCCAGAACTGGCTTCCCAGCAAGTCCCTGTGGCCTACCGGGCTGCCATTGCCAGTGTCTTCACAACTGCCACCAGACCTGGCACCGTTTCCCAGGCACCCCGGCTTGTCTACCCTGCAGCCACTGCCAGGGGCTCTGGATGGAGTGAGCAGGTGGGTGGAGTCTCCGTTGGGGACCAGCCCAGGACCCCTGTTGCGTGGACATGCATGGCGGAGCAGGTGGAATGGGACTGCAGGTGAGTAGGGAGCAGCAGCTGGGAACAGGATGGGCAGTCAGGGCTAAGGCTGCAATCGTGGGACGTTGACAGTATGGGTCCGGGGTCCTGGGCAGAACTGTGATCTGTTCCCTTTATGTCCCTGCCCATAGAACTGGTGCCCATCGCAGGGACATGTCAGGAGTGGGTCGCAGGTCTGCACCGGGCCCTGGCCCTGTGCTGCCACCACCCCCACTTCTGGTCCTGACCCCATGCTATCACTGCCCTGCGATCCTGGCCCTGCCCACCCCCAGACCCATCCCATCTGTCCAGTCCAGTGTGCCCTGCTTGTAAGATTTCCATTGTGGTCTCCACGGAGACCCTGCCAGCCCGATCTGTCCTGCACCCCCAGCAGTGGGTGCAGGGCAGATGGGCTGGGGTGCCTGGGCAGCAGGGCCAGGGCCAGCGGTGGCGGTGGACAGGGGCTGCCCCCCGCCACCTCTTTGCTGTGCCAGGCTGGGTCAGCACCCCCCTCCCCTGGCTCACAACAGCTCACCCAAACTCCTTAAGTGACCCTCCAACCCAAATAATTGCCCACCCCTGACTTAAGGGTTCATCTACATCCAAAAGTGAGAAAAATCAGTTTAGTTGGTGTGTCAAGACACAAAGTTGCATCTTTCTTATATTGATTTAAAACTGTTTATAGTGGAGAATGAGCAGATGAAACAATTATACTGCTTTAAAAAGTTGGGCTTTGCCATAGTCCTACAAAATCTATTTCATGTCTCTCTTCTATTCTTCCATAAACAGAAGCGAGGTTGCCATGATTTACTATCTGTTTCTTTTACAGGTAAATCATTACCTAGTTTGACCTGCTGAGGGATAGGCGTGAGCACATAGAAACAGTTACAACAGATTAATTGCAGGCTTTAAAACTCTGCCTGAAAGAAGCCATGCTCTCAATTTAGTTTGGGCAGTTTGGGAGGTTACCTAAAGTAACCATTCAAAATCCCCCAGAAATGCAGATTTTATACGATATCTTTCACAGGTCTGTGACAAACATTTGGAAGACTTTTTTCCCCCTTTTTGTTCCTTCTCTTGCAAGATGATGGTGACAAAATGGCTATTTCTTTTTATGATGGAAGTAAATTAAAAGTTTTCCCAATGAGTTAATTGGAGAAGGACCCAGAATAGCAGCTTGTTGATATTACCCTTGCTTACACAAGTAGTATTATAGGTTTAGATACTGATGGCTCAGTATTGGATATTGATCAGGAGAATGGGTCACTGAGGGCGCATCTACACATGTGCTTTGATGCGCAGTAGCCTATTTTACTGTGCATTAAAGCATCATGTAAAAACTAGTGTGATTATGCTAATGCACAGTAAAATAGGATACTGAACATTAAGTGTCACTTTAAAAAATGCACATTCGTTACTGTGCATTTGTTTAGTACCTCACATTGGTGGTCCTAAATTTAATTTGCATTGGGAAAAGTGCCTTAATGTGCGTGTAGGCAGGCCTGGTGAGATTTGTTATGTGAGAGCTTTGCAGGTTGAGGATGAGGAGCACTCTATAACTGTCGGGAGAGCTGCTAAATTAATTATTTAAGTCGTCATGATGTGATCATTTGAATCCTTTGATTTAAAACAGTAGTCAGTCTGCTTAATACAGCCTCTAAGTGCTCTAAACTCTGCTATACCAGAACACATTCAGGTGGTGGACGCGCTACACGCAGCTAGTTGTAAGGCAGAGAAAATCACGTTTATTGTTCGTGGTGTGATTTGGGAAAGTGCTTGGCAACATTTTTGGGCAGCAGGTCAAAATGACCCAGCTCAGGTCTGAGGCAGGCTTGTACTTAGATGTGGTTGCTACCACCACCTTTGCTTTTCCTACCTGCTGTGATACAAGTGAAGCCCCCCTGCTGCCACATGCCACCAAGGCCCCCAGCTCTGGACCAGATCCAGTGGCTCTGTTGGCTGGATTGGCCTTAGGTTGCTGACCCCTGCTCTAATACCAGGCTTATAGGCATGATAAGGGTGGGGTGGATAACTATCTGTGAATAAAGGCAAAGCATACTGAAGCTGCAAATGAGCTTTCTGATACAGCAATATACTATAAAATTGGTACCTTTTTCTATAAATTTGACATGAATTAATTCTGATTTAAATTGTGAGTGTATAATAGAATCCCTGGAATCAGCAAACCTTCTTGGAAATGCTTGTGCCAATTAGGAGAGCATATGTGTAACTTCTAAAAGTCCAGAGGAATGTAAATTGCTTAAAAGTAAGCATAAAAAAACCACATTGTAAGAAACTTAACAGAAGCCAAAAAAATTTAGTTGTAATGCAGTCTGGAGGTAGGAGAGCAAGGTGGGAAGTTCATGCCACCAATTAACCATCTATAACTTGTGTGAAATTTTAAAATTAGCTTCATGTGTCGCAGAATCTGTTCCTTGCATTAAAGTTCTCAAGTATTAGTACCGTTTGTTTCACATCTAACATTGAACACTTAGTGGCATAATATCTTCATATACTAATGTACAAATCCACATAACTATAAAGATTTTTCTATCAAACCATTATAATGAACAATTTGGTCCATGTCTCATTGGTGGCACAAAATGAAAAATGCTTTATGTAGATTAACACACTTTTTTAATGTAGGAAGGGATTGCTATAGAGTATGGACAAAAAAGCAGTTACGAAGGGGCAGTCGGGTTGGGCTTTAGTGTATGTCAGCTTTTCTGTGGTAAGCAATGTCATGCACGCTCCTTCCTCGTGCTAAGGAGAAGCTAAAATGTGGTAGCTTAGGCCTCGAGGCTGAGTTATTTCAAGCTAAATTGCCACAGTTTAGCCTCAGCTTACCATTGGAAGGTGATATATGGTAAAACCATGCCGTTTTACCCCAGGGTAAACAGTTTGACTGTACCATATGGCAATTTAGCGTGGGAATGGCCAACCTATGGTGCAGGTGGCCACAGGTAGCCTCTGTGTGTAGCACACAGCATACTGGCAGAAATCAGAGCATCAGATCAGGCAGGGACTGCAGGGCAGGAAGCAGAAAGCAGAGCAGCAGCTTGGTTAGGGAACCCAGGGCAGGTAACAGAAAGCTAAGCAGCAGATCAGGTAAGGGAAAGGTATTGGGGTGGCACTCCAGGATGATGCAGGGTAATTTGAGGCAGACTGCCAAAAGGGTTGCCCCCCCACTGATTGAGTCAGTGCTCCTACGTAGTATAGAATTTATTTTGGTCGCTTGTCCAAATAGCAGAAATTCCAGTTTTTTAAGTATTGAAATCACAATAGCCATATGCATGATATGGACTTAACAGCACTTAACATAACAATATGTATGCACAATATTTTAATAGGTTTATGATTTTCTTGACAGAGGAAGCGAGCTTGGACTACTGAACATACGTCCTTCCCAGATGAGACGCCTCTGGAGTTTAGAAAAGCAAATGTCAGGACAAAAGTGGCTACTTCTTCCATTTCCAGTGCTTGGCTCAGATGTGGTGATGGATTTCAGAGCACTTCTGTGCTGCAGGTAAGGTCCTGGTCTGCTTATGGTACAAGTCAGAGGTACAGATTGATGGTCATGGGGCTTTCCATCCGTTTTAGCTTTTATGGACAATCCAGAAATAACATGCCTTCTGTTTATAACAAACCTGTAACAGATTACTGGGCTTTCAAGAGCTTTGTAACTCCTCTTCCAAAATGTCTGTCAGATGGAATGTTTAAGCCATTATCTTGTCATATTTTCTTGTATTCTCAAAAATAAGAAAAAGCACGTTTGATTTAAAAATTTCTAAGAGGTAAGTGAAAAGCATAATGTTGAAATGACAAGGTGGGTAAGTATGGAAAAATGCAGCTGTTTGGGAATTGTTTGTACAGGCTGTCCTTGCACTTAGAGCAGGTTATGTTCCTGGAAAAGGCACTATAAGTTGAAATGATGCAAGTCAAATCTGATTTTCCCATAGAAACAATGTTCTAATTGGGGGTTACATTCCCAACCAAGGGTCTGAAGCCCAGCTTTTTATAGAAATGACCATAAACACCATATTTAAATAAACTGTTTAAACAACTATAAATGATATACACTGTACAGTACAAAGTTTTCTAAAGTGTACTGTATATAAATCGATAAAACAGGGCAATACAGTAACTAATCGCATAACGTTTTCTTTAATCAGAAAGTGAAGGAACGCCTTCATCAGGGTCAGAAGGGCTTCTTTGGGGAAATTTTTGGGGAGACTTAGGGCCACTTGATGGCTTTTTGAGAAACTGATCCAGGGATGTTTGTTTTGCTGCCCTCTTTTTCTTATTGTAAATTTCCCTGTAGTGCCCTAAGTGTGAGGATCCAGCGTCGTCAGTAATAACATGGGTGTAAATAATGGAGTGCCACAAGTGCGAATCGCTGTAAGTCTAGGACTGCCTGTATAGTATTCTCTGTGCATGTGACAGTATCTTTTTTCACTTTTATGTATAACACCTATGGTCTGGAAAGATCCCAGAGTAGCTCTAAATTTATATTTAGAGAAAATATTAATATAAAGATTTTGGGATGCAATACAGTAGATTTTTAAAAGTATACAGTAACACTCTAGTGTTGGCTCTGGATTTTGGACCCAGATGTCTTGTTTGGGGGGGACCCAGCCCTTAGACCGACCACAACATTTCCATTCAATAATAGGCAAATTTATTGATACACAGTGATAGGAAATACAAGCAATGCAGGCAAAGCAAGTACAACATACATTACTCAAATTTCCCAGTGCCCAGAATATATACAAAGTGAGTAGTCTGTCCAGCTAGTATATTTCCATCTTGAAGTTCTTTGCTTGAGTGTCCAATGTCAGCAGCCGTGGAGGTTGGGGTTGATGCCAACTGTTTCCCGGCTGTTTTGAAAACTCTTCTTTTTGTATTCTTTCTTCTCCTGATGGCTCTTCATCCCTGGGCATCGTCAGTTGGCCTTGTGGTTGTCGCACGTTCTGTGTTGTCAGCCAAAATCCCATTTTCATAAACCTATCACATGCCTACGTCCTAATTTGGGGCTTTCTTGGTGTTCTCCTAATTTGGTCTGTTCCCCCAAAACTGGAAAGCTTAAGGCTTTTTGCAACCCCTGGAGCCAGGCTGATCTCTATCATGAAAATGTAGATGTTTTCAATTGTGTATATCTGTTAGCTGCAGACACCCTGTCTTCCCAAGAGGCTGAAAGAACCAGGCTTTTAGAAATGAATTAACCCTTGCTGCTACAAGCTTTATTCTAATGCATATATATTATCTATGATCTAATTCCCAAAAGTAAACCTCTAAATATCATTTTTAGCCAACATCTAGAGATGAAGAATATCGTATCTAGTTGAAACTAGATGAAATTTTATGTAGAGAAATTAAATTTTTCCTAATAGGAAATTGTTCCGTATTTCAAATGTATTTGAAACTCGCCTCAGGCTTATGTCTCATCTAGATTGGCATCTGGACCTCACCTCTGCCACTGTACCTGGAAATTGACCTAAGTCTAATTGATATAAAAATGCTACTAACTGTAGTATCAACTCTGTGGCTTGTATCGCACGGCTGTTCACTGGAAGTTTCCTATCCAAATACTAATCAACCCCATCCTGGCATGGCTTGTGAAATTTGATGACAGGATAACTGCAAGCTCCTCTCCCTCCCTTTTAAAATAGGAATAAGGATAGCATCATCTATTTTCTTGTCTCTATCTATCCTTTATAATTTGAATTTAGATGCCCATTTTTCTTCCCTCTGCCAGGTGACATGAAATGTCATTTCTTTAAGCAGGAAGAGTTTCTAACCCAAAGGAAAAAAATAAGCAGTTTTTCAGTAGGCACTTTGGGGGAGGGTGGGGGGAAGGTGAAGAGGACTTCTTCACAATTGGTAATCTTCCTTGTTACTTCATGATCAGTGGAAAATAAAGCTCATTGAACTAGCATGCTGATGTGAATGACTCAACACAATAGTACTAAGCTATAGGCACAGTATTTTATGTTGAATGAATGAGAAAAATAATTAATTCAGCACATTATTTTATCATACAGACTACAGAATGTACTGAAAAGAAGTCAAGGATTAGTAAGCATCTTGGGTCACTGCTTACCTCTTCTGAAGACACACTTGGTGGGCTATGTTTTTCTTCATATTTATAAATTGTATTGTATACTATTAAAATAGTTACATAGCAGTTCAGAATGGCTAGTAAAAGTGAAACTTCAGTTAAAATATTGCTGGTAATTACCTGAGTGGCAGTTTGGCCATGTGTCCATGGGTAACAACTTGTTGTATAAAACGAATTGGACTCTTTAATTCTCTGACAAGTGGTTGGGATCTCAAAGGGTGATACTCCTGCAGTGTAATGAATCATACCACCTTGTGGAGGTCTTACACACCTTGGTGGGAGAGTATTACCAACAAAACCACTAACATCACCACTGCCTTTGGAAATCTACTCTTTAATTACTGCTATGCCTCAACACTACCTGCCTTGTGAGGTCTAACAAGATCCATGTTCTTATTGTAGAGTTTACTCTTAAATGTTGCATTTTTTAACTCTTTTAGTCAACATTTCCCATCCATGTATACCAGGTTTGCCAGCATCTGTCCTCTGTTCTTGTAACTTCTTTCTCATTCAGTTGCACAAGCTGATTGCGGTAGAAGCTTCCATTGCTGTAAACTTCCTGCACTCTTGCTTGCAGGAGTAAGAAAGCCACCATGATTTTTACAGGCCCTCTTCTAGTACATCAGTTTTGTCCATCTGCACCCCATCCATCAGAATGGAGGGCAGCTACTTAAACTTTTTGTGTCCTCACATTCCCCAAAATCTGTGATGCTTCTATTGGTTCCCCTCAAGTAAAACAATGTGAAATAATGGAAATCTACCTTTTTGCTTGGCATTCAAAATAATGCTCTTTTTGGCTTTCCAAAAAAAATCACTTCTGGGTAAGGAAGGCCATGTATTTAGTACTCCCCCATTCAAGATGCCCAGCACTTGTTAAATTTTTCATGTTGGACAGCTTAATAGTGGAAGGAAATAGGGGATCTTGGTTTGCTACGTCAAGTTGTGCTGTGAACTGAAATTCCCTTTGTTACCAAGCTCCAACTCTTTTTTTTCAATTTGTGCCCATAATAATGGGTAAAAGCCATCGGAATAGCCATCACTCATCTGTAATTAATCTTTAAAAATTACACCTTGAGCAGTTCTCTGTAAATAAACAGCTGTTCCTAGTGACCAAGCCATTCATGGGTAACTTTCTCTAATTTGTTTTGACAGTATAAAGCTTATAATTCTGTATCTTCATTTCTTACTGTTAAATTAAGTGTGGGTTCCTCCTACTCCTGCCCCTGCTTTACCACTCTGGGTGGGGGAGGCTTCATCTGGGCAGCTCCTGCTGGAGGCAAGGGAACCAGAGTGGCACCTGGCCACAGGTAGCTACATTGGGAACAGCTCTGCCACCTGGCCCCATGATCCCAGTTTCACCTGCCCCTCCTGCTCCTGAACTCTGTTCCCTGCCCACCCAGACCCCGTAGGGAGTTTTGATGAGTTGTTGCACAGGACAGTGAGGGGGGTGGGTGCTGACCTGGCTTGCTCATCAAAACTCCCTGTGTCTCCCTCAGACCAAATAATTGCCCACCCCTGGTATAAGTGGTAAATGCTATAATAACATTAAGCATTGATACTCAGTTGCTTGTCTCTAATATGTGGAGACTGATTCACTCTACCCTGCCACAGCTCAAAATAATGCAATTTATTTAAAGTTAAGAAACTAACTGTTTTGATCATTGTAATATTGTAACATCAACATTCTCTTTAGTAGGAATCTCTATATCTAAGAACTCGAGAGAGCCTGCAGACATCGTGTGGAGCTCTAGTGACAGTGATCTGTCAGAGGATGAGAATAAAACAAGTTTGCCCAATCCAAAAAGTCATGGCTTCAAAGGAGAGAGATCTTATAGCAGGCATAATTTATTGTTAGAGGACAAGAGTAGTGAAGGTGAGTTCAAATGTCGGCAAATGCTTTCAAACAGTTCCCACAATTCTCTACATTGCCTGTTTTTATGCATTTATGTTGCTCTTCAGTGATCAGTTTGCACAATTTACATAGAAGTACAGTTTAATTGTTTGAATTTCTACATAGAGTGTTTTTCCCCACATCTAACTTTTATAATTGTAAGTTTTTTTTCTTATACTGAGCAGGTAGAGTGGGGTTGGGGCAGGAGGAGGGTGGAGAAGTGAAAAATATTTGTAAGTAAAGAGAAAAAGTATGTCTGTGCCTGAGTTTGTAATGTAGTCTTCAGTATTTGGTAAAATACATTCTTCATTGTAAAACCAATAAGTGGTGTGGGATTAGTGTGCTTTGCTCTGAGGCCTGATCTGGTGTGTGGGGCCCTAGTCCCACCTATTGCACTGGGCACCAATCTAGATCATGCCCACGGTCATACCCTGTCCACAGGTCCATGCCATCTGGTCTGCAGGACCTAGAAATTTGGCAGTGGGGGAGCAGTAGCAGTGTTAATTGCCACTGCTTCTATGCCACCAAATTTCCAGATCCCTGCAGGCCAGATGACTTGGCTTTGTAGGCCTTATCTGGTCTGCAGGCTGGAGATGGAGCACTACTGATTTAAAACATAGGTGGGAAATGGTTTTCCAGTGAAACCCTTGGTATTTCAAAAAAAGTTCTCATAGAACAAAACTAAGATTGTCAGAGTTGGAGAAATGAGAGACTGACCCATATGTCCTAAAGTAGCCAGGAGTCTGGTGTTTAGAATGATCCTCTGGGTGTAGGAAACCCAAGATCAAATACTAGCCCTGCCTGCTTCAGAATTGGAACTTGAGCCTGAGTCTCTGGTACCCCAAGGCAGTGATTTAAGTTAGTAGGTTAACTATTTGGAGCACGGGTGGGGCTGTGGTGGTGGTTAAGCCTCTATGAGAAACCCCATTTTGGATCTAAGGATTGACATATACATTTACATTGAAGTGTTCTCAGTGTTGATGAATTGCCATTTCCTGAAGAACTCTTTGGTTTTCTAATGTAAATCTATGCATTACTATTCTTCTGTAATCTAAATTCTTCTTCTTGTTTTGCATTGTGTGCTCCAGCTTGACTATCTAGGGCTGAAATACCTCATTTTCCTACATACTACATGTCCCAAATAAGTGGCGGGGGGCAGATTGAAGAGAAAAAACATATATTTCCATATTTATGGCTTCATATACCAGGGGCAGAGTCTGACCTTCAACTTGCTTACCTTCTCTTTCCTGCTTTAGGCAAAGCTATAGATTTAACCCTTCCACAGTTAAATTGTCAGTGGCTCTTGGCTGCTCAGCCAAAATGTGAAACTGTAGCTGCTACTGAAGACTGAACTCCATAGGCAGATCTAGGATTTTGAAAAGAGCTAAAACTATCTGCAGGCCTGTGAAGTAGGCCTGCAGACAGACCAGAAGTAGGTAACAAATGGGAAACTTGCTGAATGAAAGGTAGCTGGAGTAGTGGGACATCACTACTGTTAGAAAAGAGAGAGGGTCATTAATACTTGTGGAATGAAAAGCATTAGCAGGTATCAGGTAAACTGAGTCATTACCTCATTTGACACCCTCAGCACTGCCTGAATAGAAAGGCCACTGGTGCTGCCAGGCAGTTAGTTTTGAACTTTGGATGGAGCAGGAATCAAAGTGAGGTACAAGTGCAACACTACACCCCGCCTCTGGATCTGCTGCTGGTGGACTCTGCTTTTCCCTCCATTCAGCTGCTAGAGGGAAGTGAGGGAAATGAAGCAGCAGCCTTCTTACAGCATCTCCATGCTTCTTTTCTGGGTTGAAAATTGGAGGAAAAGGGTTTCCCACCTCTCTCTTGCTGTTTTAAACACAAGAATATAGAAGTTGCCACTCCCCACAGCTTGGCAAATATGCAAAATCCTTCAAAATCTAAAGTAGCCATCAAACATAAAATAATTTAAGTTCACTAGTACAAACGCATGTACTGTTGTTTTAAAACAAATTCAATAAAATTAGAAGTAACGTTTTTACAAGTGCATAAAGCCAGTCCAAGATTTTAGTATACAGAGCTGTAATCACTGTAATGCTTTAGTTGTTAAAATCTAAACAAGATACAAGACCTGTATGTGTGTGTATGTATGTATGACTGCAGAATGTATAACTGCAGCTGAAATTCCTATCTTTTAAAAATATATATATTTTTATACTGGACAGTGTCTCGTGCATTAGATAAAATGCTGTACAGCAGCATTTCTTAATGTTCAGATAGAATATTGAATGTCATCCCAGATTCCCATTGATCCAGACACAAGTCTACACAGAATGCTGTTGACACCAGTTTGACTTCTCCTATATATACGAAGGTGTACGTGTACCATTCCCAGCTTTCACCTGCTCCTTATTTGTTTCTTCTAAGATTTTAGAAGAAGGCAACCATGCTCCCAGTCTTACAGAAGGAGCTTCTCTACTCCTCTTCCCTTTGTGCTGCTAAGTGTGTTATGTGCGTCACACACAAACAGGTTTTTTCCTCTCAAGAGCTTGCCACCTAAGACCCTAATATTGTATTTCATAGACTTCATAGACATTAGGGCTGGAAGGGACCTCAGAAGATCATTGAGTCCAGCCCCCTGCCCAAAGGGCAGGAAGTCAGCTGGGGTCATAGGATCCCAGCAAGATAAGCATGCAGTTTGCTCTTGAAGGTGTTCAGTGTAGGTGCTTGAACCACCTCTGGTGGCAGGCTGTCCCAGACCTTGGGGGCTCGGACAGTAAAGAAATTGAAGGTTGTAGGACAGCTTTTGTGCCTGCTCCAGAGCCCTGTTGACTTTAAAGGATCTGATAGGTGATAGTTATTGACTCAGGTACTCTGGCTATTTTAAACATTTGTATGCAGGTATTTTTAATATCGGTCTTCTTCAGGGGAAAGTGGAAGAATAAATGGATGAGTTAGAGGCATAATTGAACATGGGATAGGTCTCTCTGTTCCACTTCATAATCCTGTCATTGTAGATAGGAGAGCTACTTTCTCTCTCTACCTGTCTGTGTTCTGGAAAAACTTTTCTGTGCCTCTCTCTTTCTTTAGTTAGCCATCTTGCTAGCAAGTAAAGTTCTGAAAATGGTTTTGCTCTGTTGCTAATATTAAAATTTCTCAGACATTGTCTGTTGGATTTACTTCTACACTTGTGAGTGAGAGTTCTTTAAAAATAATAAACCATTAAAAAATTATCGGTTTTTTTGGAGACAATAATACTGATCTCTGGAACAGTTGTTAACCAGTGGTATTTCATACACAAGTACTTGGCCTGTCATTTGTTAGTCATCTGTGTAGAAGTTAGTATTTTCCTGATGCTTAGCTTCAGAATAGTGTATTAGAGTAAAGCCTTTATGAACGATTGTATTAAAATAGTATGTTATGGAAGTAGTAAAGGAAACACTATATGAATGTACAAATTGGAGATAATTCATTTAACAGCATACTTGCTATCAATTATAGCTGAATTCATAGTTTTAATTAGCATGGATAGGATTAATTAATAAAAATGTCTTCAATTTTTACCATTGTTTTACGTTAGGTGAACCACAATTCATTGACTGGGAGAAGGACAGTGATTCTGTTGATGATGTAGGTAGGTCTAATGGATCAGAAAAAGATTACAGCCCATTTGACATACTGGATGAAGATTCCTATGCAAGTAGTCTACCTGGTGAAGAGAAGGAAGATGAACCTTGTAAGGTGAGAAAATATTTCAACTTATACAACACAAACCCAAATGAACTGACATTCAGGTTAGAGTACTCTTGGTAGAATATGTGTTCCCTTGTTTGTCTTTTCACTCCAAAATGGCCTTCACACACAAGACCCCTTAAATTCCTTGTGTGTCCCCCTTCACCTAATTGCCTCAGATCAGCATAGTCCTTCTAACCCCTTCCCACAACAAATCTAAAAATAGAAAATGTGACCTAGTAAAGCAGTAGACAATGATTTGAACTTTTGGTCTATTCCTGGCTGTGCCGCTCTTCTGTTGGATGACCCCATGCCTTGGCTTCCTGTCTGTAAAATGGTGAATGGTGATACCGATCTCTTTTACAGTACTTTGAGATGTACTTAATGGAACACACTATGTATGATCAGAGTTTGTTAAATTTGCTCTGAAGAGTTGTCCTAGGGGTTTCTGGGGCAGTGATATTTTCAGAACTTTTTCATAAGTATAGAGGAATGAGATTCCCTTTGCTTAAAAAAGGCAATGGTTGAGGGAAGGAAGGTAAAAATAAGTATTGATCATAATAATTAGGGTCAAGTAGTCACTCTTCAATGAGGCATGATTTAGGAAATATAATTTTGAATTCGCAAGGAATTCAAAATACATGCAGTGGTTTAATTAGCATGTATTTGGCTAACAACACTGTGCCAGATTAGTCTGTATTATGATTAGAGTTTGAAAGTTTTACTTTCAAGGTTCACATGGTTGGTGAGTTCATCAAACAAGTTCTGTTAGCTCTGTGCACCAGATCTTTATACATTCTGTTCTTATGCCTAAATTCTATTATTAAGTGCCCAAACTTTTTTCAGTAGCTGTGCAAAAGCCTTGCTTTTGTACTTGAACTGGAGGAATCAGCTGTTAGACTACTGTTCACGAATGCTATTTAAATTAAAGAAAAACTAAGATGCTTAAAAATTTACTAATAAAAAGTGCCTAGAATCTAGAGGCTCTAGATTAATATTAATGCCTTGCATGTAGTAGTCATAGTAGCATACCAATAGGTTTGAAGTACTTCCAGCAGAGGGTGCTAGAAAACAACTATTCAGTTGTCTTGTCAGTAGAATTACTCAGTGCTTCAAAAGGAAATTGGATTTAGAGGATCTCATATACTTATGTAATTCAGTACGTTTTTTATATGCTACACTGGCAGTTAAGGTTTTTTTTAAGGTTAAATTGTCCAAAGGGGTCTGAGAGTTTCAAGCTATGATTTTTTTTTATGTATGAAGATATCAACATCAAATCTGACATATGTCATACCTTAAGTTTGCCCATATGTTGTTCTTGACAAAAGAAATCAAGGAGTATTTCAGTAGTTATAACTGGAATGTAAAAACAGTGGGGACAACTGAACTGTGGTCCAAGTAGACATAACTTTAGTTGAAATCAGTGGAGCAGTACTCGCTTATACCATCTAGCTAAGACTATGCAGAAAGGATTTTCCTGAGAATAATACAGTTCTGTTTCCAGTTTGTTTATCACTGCCAAGTAACAGGACTTGAATATATTATCATAAGCCTTTTTAGGGTACATAAAACCTTCAATTAGAAGCAGGATATCATCAGAGCTAGATACCTGACCAAGCGTTAGGGCATTCACACTAATATCAGCAGTATGGCATAGATGTACCTGAACTTACCTCTAAACTACCTAGCTTGGGTGTAACCACTGAGCTACAGCGGTACAGAGCTAATGTGGGATAATTGCTCCAATATTTTTCCAGTTTCTCTGGCAGTGACCAAAGAAACAGTGTTGGGCAAAATAACTGGAATGGTGTGCCCAGTTCATACCTCCTATAGTCCCAGGAAACTTGGAATTTGTCTAAACAGAATTTGTTCTGCTTTTAACTATACCAAATAATAAAAGTGAATCCATCCTCCACTGTGGATACAGTTATACCATAAAACAGTGATTCTCTTCTGAGGTGCTTTGGCACCCTGGGGTGCCATGAGATCTCATTAGGGGTGCCATACCATCTGGCCCCTGCATGAAAAGGTAAATGCTCCTCTCCCCCATCTTGCATCCAGTGCCTGCCAAGCTACTTCTCTGGGAACTGCTGTCACTAATTTTGTAGTGGTCCATTTGTTTTTGTCAGGTGGTTTCTCTGTATAAAGTCACCCCCCCATGAAAACAATACAGTTCCCTGGGCACAGTTTCCTGCTGAGGAAATTTCCATGGGAGTGGCCAAGCTGTGCCAGTAAAGTTAACCCTCATAGTTGGCTCATGCAGCAGGGCCAAATCCTCAATATAGGGTGTCCTCAACCCCTGGCTTATAGGCCAGGTTTAGCCCCGAGTGTGGTTGAGGACTGCTGCTCTATGCTATGCAATGCCTATGAGTCACCATCCTCGTAAATAATTTTGGACAAGCTTTTGTGAAAAAAACCTACAACTGAACTGAGCATAGAAAAGAAGTGGCTGCTATTGGAAAGTGTTTATTATAAAAATATTAATTTTTTAAAAAGGCTTGTGTTAATTTAATGCCTAATGCATTGTGGTATTGGCACCTAATGTAGTGTCTGGGTAATTGAGACAGAATTTTTTTTGCCCTACTTCGAAATATGGTAAACCCCAGTAAGTGCTGGAGGTTTAGTAATTCTGCCAAAATATTTTTATTGCCATATTTACTTGTGTTAGTGTGCTACGTATTGAATACACAATTTAAAAAAAAAAAAGAATGATTTTACAGTGGTATCCTTCTTGCTATACCAGCAGGTTTAGTTTGAAAATTATTTGTCTCCAATGCTAATTAAATAAAAAGTAAAGTGGGTACCACACAAGCTTTATGTATTATATCATAATGTACATGGACAATATTAGCCTTATGTGTGGGTCTTACACACAAAACTAATGGCAGAAATTTTCAGTACAACTCTGTGATATCCTAACTCTGATCAAACATACTGAATTCACGAAGAACAGGCTTTGCTAAGTTCTTCTGAAAAATCATAGTTAAATCATGATGTGAGGTGCCTTTCTGTTTTAAGAATATTCTTTCCTTTTAATCTAGAACTATCCAATTCTTACTTAAGAAAATATAGGAGGGACAGGCCTGACTTAGTCTGGGTGAGGAGAACTTTTTTTTTGTTTGTAGAGGAGCATGGAGAGGTCCTCAGCCTTTGTGAGTGGATCTAAATGATGATTAACCTTCAGTGCCTTCTTTCCAGTATACTTGTTTTGTGGGAGGACTTCATTCATTCCCTTCAGCTTTGGTCTGTGAATGGATTTCAGTGCATTGGAAATGAGTGTCGAGGGGTGGCCAATTTTGTTGGTTGGTTCACTCTGAGGACTGCTGTCACAGATAAAACCCCTAATTTATTTGAAAGAAAAAGATTCATCTCTTGAATTTTAAATATTTTGATTCCAGGAGATTAAACAAAATCTAGTGCTATTCAGTCAGATTTCAGGACTCCTACCATGCTGTCTCCTATGCTAGAAACTTAGTCCGTCTCCCTGTTTGTCAGACATCCTACTTCTTTCTCTTCATTCAAATCCCTTCTTAGAATGCTTTCTGTAAATCCTTCAATCTAAATCCCATTAAACTGGGTTAATATTTTTTATGAAATATATCGTATCTGTGTCACATGGGAGCCTGGACTCTCCTATGGCGTTCTGTATGTTAAAACTGTATTATCTGTGCCTGGTTTAGAGCCGGGGTTGTATCTTGTCTTGTTTAGGATAGTGGAATTTACTGACAAGAATGGAAGGAAGAGAATTTGGTCCTTGATTTATGATTTCTTGGAATGGAGAAGTTATTACTTTGCATTTGCTATGTAGAATAAATAAGGTTTCATGATTTTTTTCTTGCAGACCAAGCTAGTAAGCTGGTCATCAGTTTATTATAGAATCATAGAAAAGTAAGGCTGGAAGGGACCTTTACTAGTCATCTACTGCAGCCCACTACATGAGGCAGGATCATCCCTTTCCACTGGTGTAACGCCACACAAGTGAACAAGTTCACTGCGTTGCTCATCTCGCTGGAGAACGTCTGTCCAAACTTCCTTGGACACTTTCTTTAAGAAGGCAGACAAGACTCCTAAGAAAACTCTAGCCAAGAACCCTTCAAAAAGTCCAACCAAGAACCTTTCAAAAAGTCCAGCAAAGTCACCTCTAAGAAGTCCTTTCAAATCAATATGATTGCTATTTACAATATAAATACATTCATGTAGCTATATTACTAATTTATAATTGATCGAGTACAAAATTCTGGGGTATTTTTTTGGTGAAAAATCCCGCATTTATAATATTGTTTCTTATGAGAAGATTGGTTCCAAGTTACAGTGTTTTAACTTGAGACACGATTTCAGGAACCAATTGTGTAATAAGTCGGAGGACTGCCTGTAATTTACTTTGTTTTCATGATCTAGTGGCGGGCAGATTTTACATCTTCTATGATATTTTAAGAAAGCCTCCTCAAAGTATCAGTGATATCATTTACAGCCAGCCATACAAGTATTATGTATATATTTGGGTCGCCTCCTCTTTTATTATCATCCTCTTGCTTCATTATGCTTTTCAGGCTATGTAATTAAAGTTGACTAGCACCTGAGTTGTGTAATAGACTATAAAGTAGGTTATCTTGGGTTATGAATCATCATTTTATCAATTGGAATCTGTGTGACCCAGTTAGATTGACTTTACACTGGTAGAAGATTATTATGTTACTCTGTTGTAAGCATTTATTTGAGTATGCATCATCATGGTAGGGGATGTCCTGTACAGCATAAATTGAGACAGTAACGATAGACTAAATGCCATGCTCCAAGCTGAAAGGACATGGGTAAAGAAGTGCATCTTGCAGGTATTCCCCGAAAAAAGTGTTTCTGCACAGAGTAAATGTCTGACTTGTGGATCCACTGCCAAGAAAGCTCTACCACCAGGACAGATAACAATTAACAAGCTTACTACAAACTTTTACAGTGTAATGCTAGAAAAAAAATCTTAACTTTTCTATCACGCTGATCTTTGGTAGTGCCAG